GTTAGTAGTAGTAGTAGTATATATATATATATATATATATATATATATATATATTACAACATATAGGTATTTACTCTATACGGAAGTTTGTGCTACCAGTTTACAATAATATTTCAAAGATGTGGTCCTTGCAGGACAAGCTTCTTATGCATATATATATTACAACATATAGGTATTTATTCTATACAGAAGTTTGTGCTACCAGTTTACAATAATATTTCAAAGATGTGGTCCTTGCAGGACAAGCTTCTTATGCATATATATATATATATATACATATATATTACAACATACAGGTATTTATTCTATACAGAAGTTTGTGCTTAGCAGCTACCAGTTTACAAGAATAATTCAAAGATGTGGTACTTGTAGGACAAGCTTCTTCTCATGATCGAAGTAATACATCTTTAATATGTTTACATAATCACATAAATACTTAAATATGCAGATAGATATATCAGCTGTAACATTACGACAATTAAATGCATAATTAATGTACAATTATTAATTATATCGCTTATATTAAAACGCCTGTATCAAAAGAACAAGATGCATTTGTACGTAAACGTTAGGTACAGTTACCTTACTCTGTACGTAGGCACATGTTAATTACACTTACATTAATTACTCTGTACGTAGGCACATGTTAATTACACTTACATTAATTACTCTGTACGTAGGCCCATTTTAATTACAATTACATTAATTACTCTGTACGTAGGCCCATGTTATTTACACTTACATTAATTACTCTGTACGTAGGCCCATGTTATTTACAATTACATTAATTACTCTGTACGTAGGCCCATGTTATTTACACTTACATTAATTACTCTGTGTGTAGGCCCATGTTATTTACACTTACATTAATTACTCTGTACGTAGGCCCATGTTATTTACACTTACATTAATTACTCTGTACGTAGGCCCATGTTATTTACACTTACATTAATTACTCTGTACATAGGCACATGTTAATTACACTTACATTAATTACTCTGTACGTAGGCCCATGTTAATTACAATTACATTAATTACTCTGTACGTAGGCCCATGTTAATTACAATTACATTAATTACTCTGTACGTAGGCCCATGTTAATTACACTTACACTAATTACTCTGTACATAGGCACATGTTATTTACACTTACATTAATTACTCTGTACATAGGCCTATGTTAATTACACTTACATTACTCTGTATTTTCGTATTTTCTGCGAGCCTCCTGTTCTCGGGCGTGTCTGCGATCGGCGTGAACTTAGTGGATGGATAGTGCCTGCAAAGTAACATAACACATACATACACACATACTGTACACGCACACACGTATATAATATATTATATAAGCTTATATAATATATATATATATATATATAGACATATATATATAGACATATGTATGCATATCTTCAGATTCTGCGGTCAGATAACGAGCAATGTTTTTTTTTCTGTTTTCCCCCACTCAAGATTTAACAACCAATATTCGAGATTAGATACGATGATCGCACAGGAAGCAACTAGATGATCAAGTAAAAGCAGAAGTTTAACAAGTTTAGCTACGCATCGATATATTTGACGACCGTTGAATCGATGAGCGAGTGTCGCAGCATGGGTACGATACAGCCACCGTCGCTGACACGTTGCTATTCCTTGAGGGAATGGCTGCAGGGAATTACACAGCTCACTGACGAGCTCTGAGTCTAACATGATGCGACATTTCACGTGCAAAAACACCTCAATTCCTTATTTTAACATGTAAAGTTGGTCTGCTCCTCCGGAAATCTCTCAGATGAAAGATGGGAGGGCAAATATCACAGGATCTAAAGACATGAAATACCCTATTGTACGCAGATATGCTACACAACCTAAAGAGTAATACTACTGTAGAGTCGTCCGTATCGACCTCACAGATCACACACAGTTCCATATACGGAAAGCAGGGGTAAAAATTGACTTTTTAACAAGGGAGTCCAACAGACTGGACTCCCTACCCTCAAAAAGAGGGAGTCCGCAGCAAAATGAGGGAGTCCGCAGTCTGAGGTTCAAAATTAAAGATATTAACAACAACGCATGTGCTTATTTTTAAGATTCATGCAGTTGCATGTCTGCCAAATTTTCATTGGACATTAGCTGAAAAAATACAGAAATTCCGCGAGACCGTGCTCCGGAACTGAACTAGTTAGTATGGCAGAATTTTCAGGGAGTCACACAGACTCCTGCATATGTCAAATCAGGGAGTCCGACAGTAAATCAGGCTGTATATGACTCCGGACTCCCGTTAATTTCGCACCCTGGGAAAGTATAACTCTCTGTAACAGATACGTTCGGTGTTTCCCTTGAGTAGACCTAATAGTTACACAGTGAAACCATCTCTATAGAACGAACACATAAACATAAAGGAGACTCTTGGCATTCCCGTATATGCTGGTTGTAATAATAATGATGATGATAATGCTGAATTATATATAATTCAGCATTATTATCATCATTATTATTAACACAATATACAACCATCATATTGAACTGATATATATAGTGATGAAATTGTGAAAAATTTATGATAAATTGTCCTTGTACTGCAGTAACAGAGTTAAACCACCTCTATAGAACGGAATACGTGTTTATAAGGGACAATTTTGTTGCCATTTCCCTCGAGTGACCAATGTGATACATGTTTTACTGTGTTGACTACGAATGTACGGTTGTTGGTTTTTCATCTTCTAAATCTTCAATCCTCTTCGTTTTCCATTACTCAATCCCGCATAGATTGGCAAGAGGACAAGGGTTGCTGTGTATTGTGTGTATTATACACACAGGGTTCTGCCCACGGTGGGCGGCGGTGAGCAGGTGTGCCCGGTACTCGCGGTTGCCGCCCGGCACTATAGATCTCCGCCCGGCACTAATTTTTGATATTAAAAAAAAAGCCTGATATATATAGGCTTTTTATTGCTCAGAATGCAAGAAATTGAGTTTCAGACTATCAAAAATCAAAAATTTTCAGGGGGGCATGCCCGTGGCAACTTCGTGGAAACTGGATGTGCCCGGCACTAAAAAATCCTGGGCAAAACCCTGTACAGACCAAGCCGCACAGCGATGCATCAATCACGCAACATTACCACAGCATGTCATCACGCGCGTGCAAGAGCCAACTGAAATATTTAATGCGCAAGTTTTTCGCGTGATAAAGCCACGAAGTTCATCATCATGCACTGTCGAATGTTAACTTTCAAGGATGTGGAAGGAGTTCGACCTTCGTGTGCCACTGCGACGTCACTAATATCTTGCATCCTGTTCACACTTACAGGTAGTCTGAGTTTCCTCTGACCAATGCCCACACCGACGATTTTGGTGGATTCGGTGTGGGTTAGCTACACCAAATCCACCAAAATCGTCGGTGTGGGCATTAGTCAGAGGAAACTCGGATTAACTTAGAGGTAACTACAGCTGGTAAACTACAGAGGCAGATATCGGTCACAAAACTGCGTTGGCAAGTCTCAAAATAAAGCAATCCGATCGAGAATAAAAGAACGAAACAAAAATGATAGACGTGCGAGCTGGGTTAAAAGTGTTAGACTAAATTAGACTAAAAATTTAACTCAATTAGACGTATGCATGTTAGACTGCAATTGTTACACTAAACATCATAGACCAACACGTGTTGGTTATTCACACGATTCGAAAGGCTCAGTATAATCCGCCTCGCTTCAACGACGGTGGCAGGGATCACCACGGTTCTTTGGAGATGCCATGGTTTGGGGTACCGTGTGACGGGGTGGGGGTGGAGGGGGGTGTCATTCTACAGTACACAGCTGAATAATAACACTGTAAACGGCTGCATTTAGCAAGGCTGCGTCAGTGCCTCTGTAAAAGCAGGTGAGTGTGGGGGGTGTGTGTGGGGTACATGTGTCCTAGCGGGGTGGGAGCTAGCGAGCTGGGAGCACACTACGGGGTCTGTGTGTGTCTGTGTGTGTGTGTGTGTGCGTGCGTGCGTGCGTGCGTGCGTGTACCTAACAGCGTGTATCACAGTATGTGTGTAAGGAAAAGGGAGGGAGCGAGGTAGGGGGAGGGAGGCATCCTATGTGATGACCAAGGAAGCGTGTGTACCTCTGCGAGCATGCTGAGGCGTGTAAGGAAGGTAGAGAGTGCAAGAAGGGAGAGAAAAAGGCAGAGAGACATGGAAGGAGGAGAGAAGAAGGAGAAGTAGTAGAGAGTAGAGGGAGGAAAGGAAGGAGAGGAGAGAGGAAGCAAAGGAGAGAGGGGGGAGGGAGGCCACATTATAAGCATGTGTACCTGTCAGTGAAAAAAATACACGGGGGCTCGGGGCGATTTAGCCCCCGAAATGCCAAAAAGAGCCCCGGAAATGCTAAAAAGAGCCCCCGTAAATTTGCATAGAGTTCAATGCAAACCAAATTTTAGAGTGTTATTTTCATGCACGCGAGCTTGGAAAGTAGCCCCCGAAAAATAAATATATTTTTCCCTGGTACCTGTGTGTCTGCATGCATACCGACAGAGTGGGGAGAAAGCCTTAGCAGTGCAGTGCATGCAGTGTGTTGGTTCCACTCCGGTCACTAGTAGTACGTTCAGACTAAACCCAACCCAGCCCACAGAGAGAAGTGAATCTATAGTAGCATGTGTACCTGCGTATGTGTATGCTGGCAGGTAGAGGGAGGTCACACCCCACTACACGCTAGCAACACGCCCACCCGCAGCATTTTACCCGCGCATCGTGCCAGAAATACCTCTGGGGAGTTTACCCTTCATACGAAGTGAAAAAGTCTAAGTCAACACGCCGAATTTCTCTGCCTGGCTCCCCCCACGCCACTGGGGGAGAGGGGGGGGAGTTTGCACTGCGGTTTCTTTCTCACACACAGAGGACGGCGGAACTAATAGCTCCGATACTAGAATAGCGGGGCCGACAAACGTTCTGCGCTCACGCCATGCAAATGCGAGAGACAATGTGACACAGCCTCTCTCTAGCACTCTCACCAGATCAATACCCGCCCGAGGCTGCTAGACGAAGGACACACATGCACACACACGCACGCACGCACACACGCGCGCGCACACGCACGCACACACGCGCGCACACGCAAAAAAATAATGGGTCGGGGGACAGCAAACATAGAATTTTTTAAGGATGGCCTCAGCTACATCTACATGCTGTCTGTTAACACTTGCCTTGCTCTAAACGGTACTCCACCCTATGATTAATATGTCACTCACGTGTCCCTTCCATGCCCATATTTGAGTCTATCCTAGATATAGCAACAGTCATTCGTTCGTGCGCATCGCCCGAAGCCGAACAATGCGTGTCCTCAAAACGACATCGCTGAATGCATTACGTAAGAACAACGATTATTCACCACGTAACGTACTGCACTGCATTCGGATAGACTCCCACGACAATGACGATGACGACGGCAAATTTACCGGTCCCGTACGAGGCTTGGCGGATTTTTTTGCGACACGAATTGTACGGTGATGATGGATGCGTTATCGCAACATTTGTGTAGCAGAGAAAATAATAGTTTGCAAGCGGCACGCAGATGCCAGATAGCTGCTTAGAAACATACACCTATAGCAAGCTGCTATCACGTCATATAGGAAGAAAAAGATAATCAACGAGAGAGTGGGGGAGGGAGCGAGCGAGCGAGAGAGCGAGAGAACGAGAGAGAGAGAGAGAGATAGAGAGAGAGAGAGAGAGAGAGAACGAGAGAGAGAGAGAGAGAGAGAGAGAGAGAGAGAGAGAGAGAACGAGAGAGAGAGCGAGAGAGAGAAAGAGTGAAGCAGAGGAGAGAATGAGAGGCAGAGAGGGAGGGATGGTCAGGGAGGAAGGGAGGGAGGGTGAGAGAGATAGAGGAAGAAAGAGAAAAAGAAAGAGAAATAGATATAGAGAGGGAGAAAAAGAGAGAGAGGGAGGAGGGACTCCCTGATTTGACATATATGCAGGAGTCCGTGTGACTCCCTGAAAATTCTGCTATAGTAACTAGTTCGTTCCAGAGCACGGCCTCGTGGAATTACCGTATTTTTCCAGCAAATCTTTAGTATTGAACTTCAGACTACGGACTCCCTCTTTTTGAGGGGAGTCCGTTGGACTCCCTTGTTCAACAGTTAATTTCTACCCCTGCTATTAGTATAGTGTAGTATTATGAACATATTTGTGAATATGTTTGTGTATGTATTTTTATGTGTCTTTACAGATACATACAATATTCAGATATTTTTCAAGTCTTCATCAATCACTCCTATTGGTGCTTAGTGGTGGTTTTTCATAGCTGGGCACAGTGCAGTCGCATTGATACAAGCCCATTAAACCAAAAAACCTGTAATGCTAATTAATGTCAAGAACCCTGAATGCACACAAAGTTAAATCTATATAAAATTTGCAATGAAAACCACCAAACCCGTGGCTGAATACACTGGGAAACAGTGGGTGGTTGGGTGGCATTTGAGCAAACTAGGCAAAAAATTGAATTTATTCATAAACCGCGTTCTGAAAATTCTCGCTGCATCATTCTGTACCACTGTTATTGTTAATGCCTACGCGTTCCTCCGTGACAGGCATGCAGGCGATGGCAGATGCTGCACACCATGTTGCCACATGTCAACATCAAACATAACTGACACTAATTACATATCTGCGCAACACCGATTCATTGCAGTGAATTTTGATGTGCTAACACAAGCACTGAAACTGTACGAAGTGGCGTGCTGATAGCAACCAGAATCAAGAGCTATGTAAGTACTAACCTGCTACTAACCACTACAACAATGATGCTACCTGCTACTTCTTAGTTTGCCAAGAAATCTATATAAGATTCTGCTCGATTTATTTCTGCTAATTGCTGCTAATTTTAGAGAGAAAAAAAAAATTTGGTACTAAATTTAGGCACGAATTGGAATTATTATACGCTTACCACATAACATACGCATCTGGTACACCAATACACACCAACATTCCAATGTCAGAATTACACAATACTTACGCATTGCAATAAGGGTGTTTGTCATATCCTTTATAATTCTTCATATTTAACGTCATGTTGCAGACTGTGCATTTGAAACATGCCTTGTGCCATGTCTGAAGAAATAAACATTGGAAACAACAATGAGAAATTTTATGATACCTTCAGAGTAACATAGTTATTTCTATTAGCGCTGCATGATAACATTTTATCACATAACATCTTATTTCTAACTATCAATCTAGTTGTTTGTTCTAAAATAGTCAAAAACAACCTCGTTTTGATGGCCTTGTATATTATATAACAATACTGTGCTATACATAATACTAAAGAAGTACAATTTTGGATTTTACCAAAACTGTTGGGCCACTAAATCCATTCCCATTGTCCACATGCAGCTTGTACAGTATAAACATGGATGTAGGCAAGGGCGTCGGAACTGCCGCGGCAGCCGCGGCGACTGCCGCGGCACTTTTTTCAGGCCATAAATTTTCCGTAACCAAAATCTTTCAATAAATTGTATACGCGCGTCTTTTGCGCGGTACATCATATTATCAGGAGTAAGATAATATAGGATCCTATATTATCTTACTCCTGATATCTGTATATACGTGTAATCATGACTGCCCCTATAAGCAGAGACCAGGGTCAGATGAGGTCAGGTCAGGGGCGTGTACAGGGGTGGGTCTAGGGGGTCCGGACCCCCTCCTGCCCGCGCAGAAAACGCATCTGAGGGGGTCTTATTTCAAAATTTTCTGGGGGAGGGCCCCCCAGACCCCCCCTTCGCGTGCAAAAACGTTCTCAGAATGTCAGGAAAACTTTCCTAAAACACGTTATTAGAACGTTACTGAATAATGTTAACCTAAAAGAAACATTCCCATAACATTCAAGGAACATAACTTTGTTAGCTGGGTATGTCTTACGGTTAGACCCCCCCCCCCTGGTCCAAACCCTGTACACGCCCCTGCAGGTCACCTGTAGCTATACAATTTTATGATCCAGAACTCTGGCACACATTCCTCTGCTCACCGTCTACTCCTGATTCTATGCAGGCAGCATGCCGTTGCGTTATATTGAGGGAGCATGCTTTGCTCGGGGTCAGCGCGTTTCATGACGAATTTTAACAGTTCGTTTGTGAGCACCAGTACAATTGTATGCCATTGTTCTTGAATGGGAATGTATTTCAGGAAGTTTTACCAAGATTATTCCACGTGTTAAAGTGAGAAAAATTAATTTGAGTTATTTGGTCATTATTGAATATTTTAATTCTATGTTAAGCAACAAATCTTTCAAATCAATCATGTATTTTTCTAAAATTACAGTGAAACACTTTTTTGTGCTAAATCACAATGCTCAGAATGTACCAGAGCCCACCATTTGCCTTGTAGATTTCAAAATTTTCACGGGGGAGGGCATGCCCCCAGACCCCCCCCCCTAGGGTGGCTTCGCCTCCCCGGGGCTCGCCCTAGCTATCACCAAAGCCGCGGCACTATTTTATTGCTTCCGACGCCTTTGGATGTAGGGCCTATATATCATGAAACTATATGGCGAAATTGTGTTGTGCAGTAATATTTATAGTTTATACTGACAATTTCATTACGAGTCAATACAGGTGAAGAACAGAGTGCGTAGTCATTGTATTGACACTGTACCCATCCATGATCCCCCAGCTTTGACTGTTTGTTTACTGTAGACTGTAGTCGTTGGGAAATTACGTTGCAACTACACTTGCTTGAATTTGACCTATCGCATGGACGTTAGTCATAACAACATCGTTTAAAATAAGATAAGATAATAATCTAATTATTTAATGTCAGATATCACAAACAATAAACATTACTCATTAGCCATTATTCAAACATCGTTTATGATTGATTTATCACAGACACTGCCAATTTATACCGTACCTCTAAGAACGTCACATGAACAGCAGCGTAATAACTTCGCCCTAAAACTGCATGCAATACTGCCGCGATAAAGCCTGTTTAGTGCTGTAATTTGTAAATTGACTGTCGTGGTACACACCTTATCCAAACATTTCAGTTCTTCAGTCGGATAGACTGTTTTCAGGCACTTGTCGCACTTCTTATTCATTTTCTGTAGCTAAACTATCAACGCGTAATTTAGACAACGTTCTACACACTATGCAGGAGTCCAAAAGATTGGCAGACGCTGAATTGTTAGGATGTCACTCCCAAAAACCAACCTTACACATCAAACATGGCGAAAGTTTATATCACGTGGTAAAGAAAGTAAAAGCAGATTGGTCAAAATGCAAGTGAATATATCATGCACGAACATGACAGATTTTTGATGTTTCAAAAAGAATCTCAATTTATTTACTCATTTATGAGCATGATAGTTTTGTATGAAATCGTTTGTATACATATATGGCATATGCCGGCGTTTTCTCCGGTTTTAAGACTACAAATTGTCAAATTGTGCATTTTTATTTTTACTCTTCGGCTAGTTAGGATTAGCCGCCATCTAGTGGCAGCAAATGATGTAAAAATATACCGTATAAATTTGCACACCGCACGCGCCACACACCAAGAGCGCATTACAAGGATACCTTCTTAATACGCTCTTGATCGTACCTATATTCGCTTTAGTCCTACTCTCGGAGATCGAGGATGGGATCTTTTTCTCCTTCTTTCATAACGTATATCGTTTGCTAGTATTAATTTTGTTCCGGGACGTGGGTTTAGGGCATGACGCAAGTTGATTCTGCTCTGGACCTGCCAGTTTTCAATAACAATCCTCTCGTCTTCAAACTTCTTAGGAATAAATTAATTAATTTCTTTACGCAACCAAGTACATATTTTTCCGTAATCTTGCACTTTGCTACTGCGTTCTCCTAACCTTCACGTTATCTTGCAATCGACATGCAGGGTCGCATAGAATTGTATAAATTGCCGCGTCACGCACCGGCGCATGATTTTCATCAATCTGTACCATAGAAATAATATAGATAACTATATATCTATATTCTACATCTATATCTATATCTACATCTACATTATACTATCTCTACATCTATATAACGATATAGTTATCTATATTATTTCTATGATCTGTAGGCCTACATTAGATAAAGGTTATTCATACCGTAGTCGACTTTCTGTGCAGTGTGCATAATTGCCTGCATAAGGTATATATTAATTATTAAAATAGCTCGGCAAATTCAGGCAAGTGTCTGCCTAGGTCACGATGAAGGTTATATAAGGGGTATAAAAAAATACGTGTTATATGATAAATATTTATTGTTATATAATACATAATATTATTGTCATCAATAATCATTGTTATATGATACATAATAACATATACATTGTTATATGATACATGATACATGATACACAGGGGCGGGTCCAAGCTTTTTGAAAAAGGGGTGTCCAGGACGAAATAAAGGGCACTTTTTCCTGCTTACATTTTCTGGTGTTTTAAAAAGCTGCCGAAGGCCACTTAGGGGGCGTTTGGGGGACCTCCCCCAATATTTTTTTATTTAAATTGGTGCATTCTGAGAGCAGTAATTTTGATGTCTAGAATGCAAAAATTTATCAGATCCGGTCCCCCGGACGCCTGCAGACCCCTCTTTGCCCATTTCTAGGTTTTTATAACGAATTTACATATATATAAGTAAATCTTTATCAGAAAAACTAGCGCTAAACAAGATTTTTTTATGGGGACAATATAAGAGAAGTATGTGTGTGTGTGTGTGTGTGTGTGTGTGCGTGTGTGCGTGCGTGCGTGCGTGCGTGCGTGCGTGCGTGCGTGCGTTTTTGTGGTAAAAAGGGGGGTCCGGACCCCCTCGACCCCCCTCTGGATCCGCCCCTGAATACATAATATCATGCTCTTGATAAGATAATATCATGATGCTTGCCACACACGCACAGCACAGAAATAGAATAAATTTATTCTATTTCTGTGACGCACAGATGCGCGAAATCAGGATCTGCAAGATGCACACGTTGCTCGTCAGGGGCGCTAGTGTCGGCCGTTTGCTGCCGCTGCCAGTAATGCATAGTAATAATGGAAGCCACGGTAAAGAGTGTTTGATTGGGTTTCTTACTCTCTCGGTTTCTCGCCACAAAACGTGTTCCATGACTCTGGGGCACGTCAGTTAATTTAACTAAGGGTCATCAGATGGTCGAGTATGTCCCGGAGGGACCCAGCTACCCAGTAGAGGAAGAGGAGGATGTGACGATCAGTGACAGTGCCAGCAGTGGGTAGGTACTAGGTTGTTGATCCTCAACTCGTCGCGGAAGCAATGCAAAACAGCTGCGATGAATTCCAGATGTGGCATTCGTGTGAGCTGTCAGCAAGTATTTCATGACACGGGTGTATTAATTAATAGATTAATATTAATAATAACCTTCAGACTCAACCGGGGATCTACTGGTTGGATTAACTTACGTACGAGTCTGCGACTGTGTAAGTTAATTACCACTCCACTGTAGTCTGTACGTGCGAACGCAGTGTCAGTGATTGTCTTATTAATTGTGCTTAATTGTTATTTTTAATCAATAATTCACATCCGTGTAAAGTGCATTACTGCAGTTTACTTCACAGTATGGTGGCCCAGATATATAGCTATAAATATACAGAGTGGCTATATGCCCGGCAGCCGGCATATATGTGACGGCTGCCGGGCACGGTCTATAAATGCCCGGCAGTTTTTAATTTTCAGCGTTATCTCAAGTAAACAAGGGTTAGGGTAAGGGTTAGGAACTGCTGGGCATTTAGGAAATCGAAGACCGTGCCCGGCTGCCGGGCATATAGCCACAGCGATAAATATATACTGTGCAAGCTATCATATTCCGGGCAATCGGAGAATAAGTGGCGATCGTAAACCTACGGCGTGAAACAGTCGTAGAACCTGGTCGAGCTAGGGTACCGTATGGTAGGGCCTACTCTACTTGGTTTACAGAGCAACTGATCGAGTAATAAGTAATTAGACTAATTATTATCAATATATTACTCAATATAATAATTATAATTACTATTATTAAAACATCAAATTATTATACTTATTGTTAGGTACTTACTATCTCAATTAGAGTGTCATAATTTTGTTATTACCATGCACAATGAATTTGACCTCTCTAATTGTTACTAGAAATTTTTTCCATTTATGGGCTGTAAGTAATACAGACATTTCTTGTTTCATTTTATTGAGTTGGGTAAACTGCAAAGTTTTCTATATTTAATAATTTATAGGTGCCTTTCTAAGATGCATATATGCACAGTTTACACCTATACCCATTCAACATAATCCAGTGGTTGAAATGGATGCATGATCACTATTCAAACTTATATCACTGCATAGTTTTGCATGAGGGTGATGAGGGTGTATATGTACACATGAAAAGTTGCCTTCCAATTATATCCTACCTTGTGGATTCATCGGATGGAATGCAGACACCCAACATAACAGACACACTCTCTAATTAACCCCCTACTCTGGTGTCAAAATGTCAACAAGGGTTAATGAGACGTATCCACCGTTAGAGACGCGCCTGTCTGGCTCCAATAGTGCATATGTCAGCGGTCTAGTTAGCCGCGACTCCCGCGGAGACCTTGCATACGGTGGTAACTAAACAATTAAGCGGAATTTGACAAACCTGCCCCGGGCTGGTCAGCGTGATAGACGTACATTGACAACATAGTTTTGAACAATAGAAAGCTTGCTTTGACGATGCTATAGTCGATGCACTCGCAGCCACATGATGTGAGCACTTGCCGTGCTTTGCATACTTGTCGTGCTTGCCAATTTCTCTGCCATCTGTATCCTTCACTAGCCACCTTACGTCTCCCTCTTGGGGAGTTATTCCGCGAACTATATCGTGAGACAGCAAATGCACCAATTTCTAAAGCGTAATTATGTACACACATCTAAAGTAGATTGCACTTTGAATGACCGATGGCCGAGCAATTAACCTTCATAAACGATTGTTAACTCTATCAAATCCATCATGCATGCATATTATATACAGAGACATATAGCTATTTCTTTAAGATGGCATACTTGAGTAATCATGACCTCAAGCATAACGTACACGTAACCTCTTTGCATAATTATATATATATATATTTCTCGGCCAAGGTTTGCAACGTACAAACATGAGTAGCATGTCTTCCGATAAAACGTTGTAAACTTATAACCTTGTGTTTTATTGGCTCAGATGAGGATATGCAATGGCTAGTCATTTGTTTGATGCTGATGTGCCGCAGGGTAGAGGGTCAGGGAAATTAATTGACATTGGATTAAAACCGGATCACCTCCGCATGAGTGTGTGTATGGATGCTTATGTTTTGGCAGGTAAACCTTTTTCGCGTATAAAGTGGGGCAGGCTCAATAACTACGTAGCTACTCTTCCAGCCCTCTGAGCACGTAAATTATTGTTATTGTTTCGTCGTGTCACCACTTTAGCCACCAACAAAAGAAGTGCGTGGCACCGTGGTCTCGTGCAGTAGCTAGGGAATAAATGTTGATCTTATCCAGGAGGTGAGCAACAATATATGGACTGGTAGCGGCTTTTCCAGGTTCCAGGTTTTTCCTGGTAACTCGCCAATAAAACATCCGTATATATACAGGGTCCATAAAGTTATCTGGAGTTGATACAGCTTTCTTTGTGTACAAAAGAGGTCAGCAAAGGAGGTGGGTATGGGGAAGTTGGGATGGCCGATTTGTACCGGCAACAACAACCTAGTTAGTTGAAAAATAGCGCGAATCTAGGTGTAGATACAATTAAGTGCATAAATGTTGCTGGTGCTACTGACATTGTTGTTCTTTTTGTGGTTGCTATTGGCATTGTTGTTCTTTTTGTTGTTGCTATAGGCATTGTTATTGTTGTTGTTCTTCTTCTTCTTTTAGTAAAGCTTGTTGTTGTTGTTGTTGTTGTTGTTAGTGAGCTCCCGTGTTGGCTGTAATTTCTATCTGTGCCACCTGTGAATGCCAGGCAATGATCACAGTGCATTGTGCCAACACGCACGCACGCACGCACACGCACACGCACACGCACACGTTATAGCTTGTCTAACTATAGAGCACAAGTATGTTGCCAGTTATGGCAACAGTGGTATATAGGATGGTGCGTACAAAATGTAGTATACTTAATATTTTTCATTTGGATAAGAACGTGTTATTTTTCAATTAATGATAAGATCAAATTTAAGCTACGCAATCAATCTTCCATTTCAGTTTTGTTGTGGTGACGTCACCCCGCGCAATAAGTAACTGCATGAATCTATGCGTACTATATAAGAAATAGATATAAGACTAGATAACTGGATATTCCTATAGATAGACTATATAACTGCAATTCGTGAGGTTGTTAAACTCGCGTGCATGAATATGCAGGATTTTACGTACTCGCACACCCGGATGTACGTCTGGCTGGCTGTCTCAGACGGGCAACCGCATATATGCCTTTCACTTTCATTGACATGCTCGCGTGTGACGAAAACTAGCATAGCGGCAAAGTAGGTGAGCCGTGCTGTGGCTTATCTCGCCTTTGTCATCATCGTCGGCAGACGGGCAGGGTGTAGTAAACTGCTCGGGGCGTTGATCAGGACGCGTATATAAACGCAACCGCGGCCCTTCCCGGGCCAAGCTCCACTTACCACACGTGCCGCAGACACACAGACGCACAGACAGACACACACACACACACGTACGGCTTCTTCATATGCAGACTCACGGCGGCCGGTCTGTATATAGAAACCAGGCACCGGTTACATAGGCGGATAGCAGCAGATATAGCGACTACTTGAGAAGATGGTGAAATTCGGACATATTGCGTAAGTACAAGTGTCTTGTGTATGTATATATGTGTAGCCGCGGTATGATTTATCTGCCTTTTTTTATTATTTGCGATGGAACGTTTGAAAACTGTCGCGTCATGAATGGGGTTATAGTTCATCTGACACTGCAGCTGCATGGTTCTGTATAATTAGTTATAATATCCATGCTCCGTCGCCGAGTCAGTCTCGTATGCGATAACCTGATTGTGTATCGGGGGTAAATAATGCCGAATTTATCATTATTTACCTTTCATGGTACGCGTGTCCCTCGCCCTTCTGTATGACTTGAATTTTATGTCTGTACGCTACGATTTGGTGCGCCAAGACTTTGATGTAGGATCAAATTTTGCAGTCTGTACGGGGTATTAATGGCGCGGTGATTTTTTGTGGGGGTGTTTGCTTCTTTTCGAACGACGTGGTATCGTAGAAGTGCGCTTCACAGATGCACATGCATGTGCTAGAGGTGCGTGATCAAGAGCCCAAACAAATTACGTTGCAGCTGCCACCGTAGCTTACCGTGCAGCGCAAGTATCTTACTATAATTTGGCGAATGTTGTATGTATGTATGTTAATGAAAGGCTCCGTCAGTTTGGATCTAAATAGTGCCAAATTCACAGAAGAGATCGATGAATACACGGGACGGGTTCTAACGGGTGCCGTGGACACCGATCTGTCACAAGCGGTCCGATCACAAGCACGTAATATTACGTCGTCCGCACAGAGTGCAAACATGCGTAGAAATAAGCGATCACAACCACGCAATATTACCTGGTCCGCAAACAGTGCAAACATGCGAAGCACGTAATATTACGTTTACGTTATACCCATTCACATCTATCTATATTCTAACTTTGGAGTCCGTATCATCGACCAGTACATAGCATACAATAAAACGTTTCTGTGTGGGTGTGTGTATTTTACCGTGTACTTGCCAAACAAATGGTTAATGTGTTACGTGTAAGCATGATTGCACATGTATTTGTATTGACATCTCAACCATAAAAAACAAACATGTGCAACAACTAAACTCTCCATCGTCACAGTCACTAGGCCCGCGCGTAGCGCGGGTTTCAGCTAGTATATATAAACTGTTGTTATTGAACGTAATTACGCTTACATTGCGACTTCCTAAGAGATTGTATACCGTGTGTTATGAGATGGTGAATGCAGGATTCGGACTTCACTGGGGCGTCACTATAGCACGACCTTCATGTATAGCGTGATCACGAAGCTGTCCTGTGCAGACATTTATAATTATAACTTGTGTCTATATACGTATAGGATCGGGTCATGATCATCGTAGTCTGGAACTATAGCCGTGACGTAGGTTGTTGCACGCGCGTGGTGAGTGGTATATAGCTTCCTTCCGGATACGTACGTAAGACGTCATGATGACGTGCAAGCATCGCCTTCCTTTTTAGTTAAAGTAGTGAATGTTTACGTATCGACAAGATTTGGTGTCAGATTTCGTCGTTTTTATGATGATGGTGTTTGCATACGTGCTTATATATTGAATTAGCCGCGTATTTACTGCTTGCATATATCGAGGAAGTCCGTGTAATCCCATTTTGAATGGAATGTAGGTTAGTCAAATTAGGTTAGCCATAGTTCAAATGTTTGCATATATTTTAAATTATTAATAAAAGTTAATAATGTATGAGAAATTGTGACTGAGCAGTAGAGACGCATTGATTTAAATGTTGTTATTTGTTAGGTTAGTTTTGGTACTTATACATGTGACGTCTTAGCACGTCGTAATTGATAAATTGTAGCAGTAGAGCCAATGTTGTTAACACTCGTCTTTATTGCCGAGGGTGCTGACGAATACAACGACGTTTCAACCTACTAAGTATAAGAACCATGAACTATAAGTATAAGACTAATGCTGCCGCAAATTTACCGCAAAATTATCTAAATTACATATACTGATAGCGTACCGCTAACTAACTATAGGTAGCTTACATTTTGGCCCCATCTGCAACTAAGTTTAACTTTAAGTTTAAGTTTTAGCTAAGTGAAGTTTCCTAGTTCCCTCGCCGCCGTCCCTTTGTTAGCTGTCGTACAAACCCTATGTATAGCTGTCGTACAAATGATTACAAGAAGTCGTATTGCGTATTTATTAGGTTTTGAATAAAACTATGTATATGTAGTAGCACACTCAAAAAATATAGTGTCCGGATTGAATCTTAAAGTGTCAATTGTCTACACTATAAAGAGTTCAGTTAGAGACAGCACCTTACGTGTAAATTGCAAGTGTTAGAATATTTTACACCAATGAAGTGTTAGTAATATTAACACCCCGTTGGTAAATATTAACTCGTTTTGGACTAAAACGAGTAAGTACTGTAGCGTTAAATGTAAACACTGACTTTACTCGGGTACGGCAGTCCCACACACAAGTACAAACAGTCACCCTATCCCTAACCCTAACCTAACCCTAACTCTACACCGGTTCGGCAATCCGGCTCGGCTATACGCGTGTCATAGTACCCAATTAATCTATGGTGTATAACCTTTTGCTTTCAATATTTTGCATCTGAACTGACAATCAATCCCAACCAACTGGTGTAGGCTAGCTGGCACAATAATGTTAATTTTCTTACTTCAAATCCGAGTGTTTTCTAGCTCATCAAGAAATCTTAATCGTGAATTAAATCGTGAATTAATTTCCAACGGCATTATCTTGTGGGAAAGCGACGCATGCGCAAATGGACTGCCGTACCCGTAGCCTCGAGACGTTAAGATACGGCTGCCGTACCTCCAGCCACTGCGCAAGTAAATAACTTTATGAACAAAGAACAATGTTAACTCTCGTGAAAGTGAGAGCAGGGAATGGAGCTCTTATAAGAAATTGGGGAGCTCAGCTTGACTCATATATAGTGTAAAGTTTTGACACTAAAGAAAGTGTCACTGTTTTAACACTTTATGATTACATACCTGACACCTGTATTACTTGGAGTGACGCTTCAAGTGTTATATATAATCAAGAGCCCATTAAACCCAGGGTTAATGGGCTCTTGATATAATGTAACACTCGATAAGTGTAACTAGTTTTACACTTTAGTTTTTAGCTCATCTGACATAGTCAGATGCAGCTTGTAGAATCGCATGATCGTCCGTCCGTCCGTCCGGTCGTCCGGTCGTCCGTCCGGTCGTCCGTCCGTCCGTCCGTCCGTCCGTCCGTCCGTCCGTCC